TGAATCAGTATTCTTATGTTTTTCTTTCCTATATAAAAAAAGAAACTTTGTGTAGAAAAGATATATTTTCTTTAAATCTTTTTAATATTTGTTGCTAATTAGTTGTATATAGTATAAAGTTTGCTTAAGAGTAAAAGTTTTTGTGTATAAAAGTGTTTTCTTGTGTATGTGAAGCTGGCTTCTCTTGTTTTCTAATAAAATTATCAAAAAAAGAAATTTTTAAAAAAACTGGAGATCAGTGAAAAAGAGAACTTTTTATTTTTTATTTTATTTTTTATTTTTTTAGATATATTTATTATTATAATATCTAATTTATAAAAATTCTTTTTATAAAAAAAAAATTTTTTTTTTTTTAAAAAAACTCTTTTCACTAATCCTTTGTCTACACACAAAAAAGATGTTTGCAAGAAATTTTTTATTTCTTCACTAATAAAATCCTAATACTATCTCTAAATCAACTTGAAGTTTTACTTCAAAAAATATTCTAAAACTTCATCTCTTGTTCAAACAAAAACTTGACTTCCTAGAATCTAGAAAAGTTAAGAAACACCTTATTTACCAATAACAAGAAAGTTCTATAAGAAAGAAAAACTAATAGTATAATACTTAAAACCTTTTATATTAAAATATGTCTATAAAAATTTCTAATAATGGAAGATAACAAATATCAAATTATATTTAAGGTGTCTACTGTCGTGAGCTAATCTGGTGAGTCTATTACTAATCCATAGTACTTCACATAATCCAAACGACTCACAAATACTCACAACTAATATAAAAAAGAATGTCTCTTATAAAGAACACTTAAGAAAGGTAGAAGTGTAGTGATTGACTTGATCAAGAGTAAGTGTCTTTTTATTCATATTCTATTTTTTTTATATATCACTAACTCTTATCTTTATTTACAATAAGAACTGTTTTCTAATATATTTAGCACTATCTTTTTAACATATATTGATAAGCTATTTATACTTTTCTAATTAACAATAGACTATCTACTTTAATTGATTATACTAATCCTAAACTTTATTAAACTTTCCATACTTTGTCAAACACACATAATTCTCTTATCAATATCTGAGCCTTAATCTATAGTTTCTTATCTTGTGACACTCAATTTTTCATGTCAGACTTTTGGATTTTTGGATTCTAGATCATTACATGTAAATCATATTACTCACATGACCTATAACACTACCTATTATATCTTTTTTCTTATAATCACCTCAAATGTTTTTTTGATTTTCTAATGAATTTTGCCTATCTTAGTTTGATTTTGAATTTTAGGTAATACAACCTATTGCAAAAATAATTGGTGAATACTAAATATGTTAGTAGCTGAAAGTAAACAAGTATCTACTGATAATGATGAGTCCTTAAAGTTTAACATTATATCCTATAATTGAAAGTTTTATAATCAAAAGTGAATTATGTTCTCTTAAGACTTTAGATTATGGAATATAATTTTATAACTAAAAGTTAGATTTTTATAATCAAAAGTTAATTCATAACCAAAAGTCAATTTTTTATAACTAAAAGTCAATTTTATAACCAAAAGTCAATTTTTATAATCAAAAATCAATTTTATAACCAAAAATTATTTTTTTATTAAAAATTAATTTGAAATACTATATGAAATTAAAGATATAAATAATTTGATAACTGAAAGTAAGAATATAATATACAAATTTTGATCAAAAGATTTACCTTAAAAAATTCCTGATTAATTAATTTATTTTTAGTAATATATAGTTGAATTAAAATATAATAATGATCAAATTTTTTGTTGTGAAACCATTTTTTACTAATTAAATTTATTTCTAATTTTTTTATTTAAAATATTAAAATATATCTTTATATCTTTAAATTATAAAGAAATTATCTTTTTTTTTATGTAGTTATTTAATATTTAGTTTGATTGTTTAAAATATAAAATTTTTCTTCTCAGCAATAACTTGCAGATGATGATATTAAAAGTTGAAAGGATTTTTATCCAAATTACTAATGGAGCAATAAATCACTCCCAAAATTGTACTTAGAGTCCTAGATAAATATAAGACTTTGACAAGTGAATTAGTTAGAGATTCAGCTTTAGTGACACATGTATAATGTATCGTTTACAATTGTTTAATAAAACATATATAATTAATCTGACAGAGAGTTATTTTTTAAAAAATAAAATTAAAATATAAAATTTTTAAAGTTTTTTAACTTAATAAACATTTATATTAATAAATTATTAGATAAACATATAAAAATATTCTATAAAACTTTGTTTGCAATCACAAAACAAACATTTTTTATTAATAGAAAAATATCAATTTACTTAATAAAAATTTATAAAAAATTATAAAATTTGTTATCTATACTTTTTTTTATATGTTTTTAAAATTATTAATTTTCTCAAAACTTTATTAAGTTAATAGTATCTTGGTCATTAATAAAAAATATTTTTATGTAATTTTGTTTATAGTTTATTAAAACAATCTAATATATTATTATATAGTAATATAATTTTTAATTATATAATCACAAAGTTAGTCTACCATTATTTTTTGATTTAATTTTTGTAAAAACAATAACAAATTAACTTTGCTAATATATATTTTTAAAATATTATTAATAAATAAATAAAATCAAAAAATAAAAAAAAACTCTTTCTACTGATTCTCTAACCACACACTAAAAAGATGTTTATAAGAAGTTTTTATACTTTTTTGCCAATAAAGTTTTAACACTTTCCTTAAAACAACTTGAAGTATGACTTCAAGAGTTACTTCTATCCTTTTCCTATTGTTTACAAACCTTTTTACTCAAAAACTTAATTTCCAGTGATTAAGAAAAGTCAAGTAGTACCTTTGATACCAATGGTAAGAAAGTTTCCAAAGGAAGAAGAACTAATTGTAAAGTATCTGAAGATCTTTCTAACCTTTGAAGCAAGAGGCTTATAAAGGTTTTCTATAGTAAAAAGGCTTATTTTCTCTCTTTTTGACTGTCTTGACCCTCTTAGAGCTTCCATGTTTAAAGTTTTCTAGGGAATTTTGCCTACCTCAGTTTGATATTGAATTTTGAATAGCACAAATCCTCATCAAAGGTGATTGGCTAACATGAAATACATCAGTTTTTGAAATATAAACAAGCTTTTATTGGTTATATTCACGTGTCTTGATATATCCTTGGTGATATAGGAAAGAAAGGTCTAGAAAAGGTGACCTCTTCAATCGTGTATGTTCAATCTTCAGGAAACAATTATGATACCGAAAGGTGAGCGACAGGTAGGAATAGAAGATTTAACTCCTATATCTAATTAAGTTTCTTAGATAGTAAAAAGGCTTTCTTGAACAAAGTCAGGATCTCCAAGCTTCTATCCTAATTAGACAAAGTTTTTGAAAAGATTTCTTTATCCTGATCAGACAAACTCTTCCATAATATGATACTAACTTCACTAGTAATAAGTGAATCCATACATCGGCAAAAGGATAAGTTTTTCAAATATTCTTCTTGAAATCACTTTCAGGAATAGTTAAGTTTCTCAAACATCATTAAGCTTAGAGAATATTTCAATTACGCAAATCTCTTTTGAAAGGAACTATGAAATAGAACAAGAAACTTTTGAAGAGCTTTGAATTGTATTCCCCCTTCCCTTTTTCTTCAATACCAACTTTAGCAATTTATTATTTTTTGGGATAATCAACAGTGACAAACTGTTAGCAATGACTCTAGTTGATTTAGAGACACTATACCAAACTATTAGGAGAGTGTAATATTATTCCCTAAATCTGACTTAGAGTATTTAGTTTAGACTTAATTTTGTTTAGTCCAAACTAGTTTAGTGGACTTCTTATATTTTTTAAATAGTGTAGTCCTTTAACTAATAATATATAATGATGAGTTAATCACTTTGTGAAAGTCTGTAAAATATTTAGGTATTTCAATAAAGACATACCATTGTGGCATAATTGTGGGTTAAAAAAAAAAATTTTTTTAAATTTAAAATTTAATTTAATTTAAATAAATTTTTATAAAATTAAATACATTAAAAGATTTTAGTTTTTTTTCATCTACTATATATCAATTCTTTATAAATTATAGAATATTTTTCTGAATATAAATTTTATTTGATTTTTAGATAAGCAATTCTTTAGACAAACATTCAAATAAAATAATATTAATAAAATTATCTTGAAAAGAAGAAAAAATAAAAAAAATTTCCTTTTTAAAATTATAGAAATTTAATACTTTAGTGAATAATTCATAAGCATTGATTATTGACTTTGATAAATGAACTTTATTTTGATATTAACATTGATAAAGTGAATCCTTTTAGTTTGAAATAATAGCATGCAATCCGATAAACTGTCAGATTTCAAGAGATTTAATAACATTTTTGATATTTTCTTGTAATATCTACAGTATATTAATATATTAATGCTAATAAACAAAGCTGAGTTAGCTAATTGAAAAAAAAAAAAGATGTTATTATAAATTAAATTTTATTTACACAAGTTTAATTATGAATTAATTATTTTTATTATCTCTTGTCAACATTTCAGCTTACACGAAATACTGAGCGTCAACATTGCATTATTTCACCTTCCAAAAATATGTCGTGCTCTATACTGGATTATTGGTTGTTGCACATACCGCGACCAAATAATTAAAGTAACATTTGTGCTCATGCAATTTTTAATCGCACCCGCCTTGGCTTTGCTATATGAGTCAGAAGTCGTTATGATAAAGGTTTTTGGTCAATATTTTAAGTCTCGTGGAGCATACGTAATTCCAAAGGATTAGGACAAGTTATATGTTATTACCCCAAAGACTATATGTTTGTGGCAATGCGGTTCAAAGTTATTAAGGATGTTTTGTTTTTTAGAATAATAGCCTCAACGAATTTTTACAGTATGACGCGAAATTGTGATCTTACCTGATTGGTTGAACCTCAGGGATGTTCATATAAGATGCTGCGTGAAAAATATAATTCATTCTTTATATTCTTTATGGAGATACCTAAAGCAGTGAAAAATTTCGAATTGCCTCAGGCAGTTAAAAACATTGAGCTTCCGGCAGCAATGAAAAATATCGAACTCCCCACGGCAGTGAAAAACATGGAGCTCCCTGCTGCTGTCAAAAATTTAGAACTTCCTGCAGCCGTTAAAAACATAGAACTTCCCGAGGCTGTGAAGAATATCGATATTCAAAACGTTGTGAAGAATGTACCAAACGTTGTAAAAAATGTTCCTAGTGCCGTCATGAATAATGTCCCAGACGCTGTAAAGAGCATGCACGTCCCTATAAATTTGAACACAAATATGTTTTCATGTAAGTTTTCCGTTACGATATTTCTGTCGAGCGTTATTGATATTAATATCCGATTTATTTTGCTGTAGCATTTGCGTCAAGTGCTTTTACGGGCGTTGCCTCTTTAACGAAAACAATTCAACAAAAAATGGAAGAAACGACGAGGGAACTTCAAGTTCAACACGAAGAGTTTGTTAAGGAAATAAAAGAGGAAGCACAAGAACCAAAAGCAGGAACGGGTAAATAAATTTATCAATTGCATGAATCTAGAAATTATTCGATTCCTTAGTGATTTACTTCAAATATGCATTCTCTAGAAGCTGTTCCACCATGGGCTGGTTTGCCAAATGAAGATGAACTTAGAGAACATATCTTGGCCTTATCTCAAGTTGAATCAAAATCCATGATTATTATTATAGCACTTCAATGTATTTTTATTCCTTATTATCTTATTTTATTTTGTCTATATTGTAACAGGATAAACGTAATTTCACCATCCCTCCACCAGAAAATACGAATTTCCAATTTGACATGCATGTCTTTTTTCAAACGGCTATGGCTTCACTTGAACTAGATCCTAGGCTAAATCGCATGCGATTTGAATTAGTTCCTGCAGTGTATGTATTCTTTTTAGGTTTTTGTGATAGTTATCATTTACTCATTGTTATAAATTTTTTTTTTAGAGTTTCGGAACCAACATTTTGGAGGAATTATTTTTACCGTATATCTCTTATCAAACAAACTGCATTGGAATCAATGAAAGATAATGCTTCAGAAATGGAGGTGTATACAGAGAAAACGGAAAAATCAGAAAATATATCAGAAATTAATGAAAAACAAACTGAAACGATAAAGGTTAATATTTATTATGAATGCGTTTTGTATCATTACAGACTTTAATTGTTTATAATTTATTTCTCTAAAAAATTGTTGCAGAATAAAGAGGGCGAATTATCCAATAACGAAGTATCGTTTGATGCTTCCAAGTCCGGTGATAGTTCGGGTATTTATTTCTCTCTAAATTTTTTTTTGGAAAATGGGACCTCGAATTGTTTGACACATTTTTTCTTTTTAAAAAATTTTTTTTCAAGATTCTTGGGTGGATAATGCAGTTGAATTGGAAGGATTAGAAGATGATGATGCAGAAGAGCCGGAGAATTGGGAAGAACAGTTAAAAGAATTTTCGGATTTATAACCGCAGCATATTATTTATTTATATATTAATAAAACTGTAAATGTAAACTTTTAATCATAAAATTACCCGTCATTGGACTAGAAAATTTTTTAAAACAAATTGGAATATTAGTCCTAATGACAAGTTATTATTATCATGAGTTTAACTGCATGCTCAAATGAGACAAACCAACATATTGAAGAAAGAAGTCATCGTAGTAATTGCGTTAACATCGTGTTAGGTGTTTAAAATTGTCTTGAAATATTGCTATTTAAAAGATGCGATTATTGAAAATTCTTCGAAAGCAAAAAGATCAGACTTAGCGTCAAACTTTATAACCAAAGTAGCACGAAAATGAGTCAATTACAGTATGGTTTTGAAATACAAAAGCCAGATTACTCCATTTGGTTTATGCGACTTTATTTTGAATGTCACATACCTTAGATATGGCTATCTTTCATAAACACAAAGAATGATTCAACTAATAAAACAATTGCTTTTCGAGCGCAACAGAGCAACAGGCCAATAGTTCTATAGTAGAAAAAAAAATTTTTTTTTTTAACCCACAGTCAGGCCAATATGGCTTGTCCATTTTATTGTAAATATATTTGGTATTTACATATTTTATGACTTTTACATATTGACTCACCCATCTACAAAGTTTAATCTTCTCTAGATACAACTTAGGGGATGGTATTTTGCTTTCTTTATGGCTTGGATTATCCTCTAATCACTCAGATTATTGCCTACAACTTATACTGTAGATCTCCCAAAGTTCTAACTGTAATTAAAAACCAAACTATTTAAAACCTTTGGATATCCAACTACTTATTATATCTACTACTGTATATTGCCTAAGGACTTCATTTGTTCTGAGTCTTCTTTTTCTTCTATTATATTTCTGAAGGAACAAATAGAGAGTGATTGGCTTTCTTAGGGGCTTGATCCATTTTTCTAGTCATATCAGTTGATATTCTAAGCCTTTTGAGTTTGCTGATAATTCTTTGGTTTTGTTACCATTCGATAGTAATGCTATAGCATTTGTTCTAGACTTCCTTCTTAAAGGTTTTCCTCATTTTTTTACAAAATTTACCAATAGTCTCTTGTGAGATTTTGAAGACTTTGAGGTGCTTTTTCAGGATCTTGGTTTTGCCTCTGTGTATAAAGTCACAGACTGTATTATGTAAGCTTTCATCCTATTATTTAATGTTCTGGATCCATTTTCCTATTATTCTTTTAACTTCTGCCTAGCTCTCATCAGATAGATTTTTTGTTTTCCTAATATATTAAAGGATTTTACTTTGAAACTAGTCCCATATAATTGATCTTTCACTTTGGATCTTGGAACATTCAAATAGATGTTTCAGGATTTTCTCTTGTAATTTGCATATTGAGCATATTGTGTTTGAATATAAGCCTGGATTTCTTTTTTGTATCACTTGGAGGATAGAAAACTTATCATGGATTAGGTTTACCAGAAAACTCTTATCCTTGTTAGTGCTAAAGGAGGTATAAAAGGTATTATATGGATTAAATTGTCTCCCAAAAATTTATTAGTTAATTTCTTTACGAGGATGTATCCATCAATCTTGGATATATTTTTGTTCAGTCTAGATTAATCCTATTTTCTTAGTATTCTATTTTTTAAGAAATCTCTAATATTAATATCAATAGTATGTTCCTTCCAGGTTGCTATTGTGAGAACTTGACCTAGATAGGTGTTTGTTATCAAGTCAAAGAATTTTCTCTTCTGGCCTACTTTGCTAACCTATTTGCTATATTATTGAACTTATTGTTTTGATGGGCCTTGATCTTTTCAAGTATAAGGCAAAGGTTTTTCTTTTATACTAGGTTCTTGATTCAGTTCCATAGTAACAATTGGTTATTTTAGTCAATTTTCTTATAGAAATAAACTTTTGTGACTAAATTGTTTTCTATATCTTAATGGTTGTACTACAAACTGTATATATTATTGCTTTTTCATTTTTAAATATTGTAAATATTGCAGTAAGTATGGCTAGGATTTCTGCTCTTGTAGCTGATAACCATTATGTTGCTCTAGTTAAGAATTGATTGATTATTTTATTGTTCTCAATTTGAATCCATGCAAGACCCATTTCAAGTTTATTCTCACTTTTTGTACATTGTTTGTAAGATCCATCAGTAAAGAAAGTGAATTGCTTTGTGTTGCTTTTATAGTTGTGTCTAAAACTCTTTATTAGATCTATCATATACTTCTTTGATTGTATGGCCTGTTTAATCAGTTCAACTTCTTAATTCTCTATTTATATCTCAATCTCTTCTAGTTCCAATGAATATATAGTACTTAATTTATTTGTTAATACTATGGGTTGCCAGTTTGTGGGGTTTTCTGAAAGTGTAAGTAGATTCTTTTTTCTAAAACTTTCTTGCCTATTTAGTTGTGATAATAACTAGGTTTGGGATATATGTAAAATCATTGGTTGTTTGGATATATAAGAATAATAGATAGTACTATTTGTGATAGAATTATAAGTGAGCTGATATGGTGTAAAAAGTACTCCTCTGTTTTGTATTTTGACTTTCTCTATAGTAGTTTTTGTTATTTCAATCAAAACTTCCCAATTGGTTTTCCGTTTGTTTATTTTAGGAGCCACTTTTACCATTTTAAGTTTGTATTCAATCCATTTTAGAGTTTGGTAAAACTGTTTTAGCAAATCTTGTTGTTCTGTCACCTTTGCTCTAATTTGTGTATACCAGCTTGAAATAAGATCTTTACAAGTATCAATAAAAATTTGAACTGCTTTTCAATCTCTTATTATTAGTTTGGTTATATTAATTAGTTGATCCAAAAACATTATTTTGTTTCTTTTTAGAAAAGGGGTAGCTTTCATATATTCTTTCTCATCATTTATGATTGTCTTAATAGATATGATGCCTCCTTAAGTATCAAAGATCTTTTTCCATCTTCAACTATTTATGTAATCTGTAGCATCTTTGCCATGGTCAAAGTTGAAGCAGCAAAATTACCTTTCTCAATTGTCTTGACTTCTACTGGATCATCAAGTATGTTTTTGAGCTCCCAATATTTGAGTTGACTTTGTTTAAGTCAGATAACTGTTGCAATTCCTGAAGTTTTACTGTTATTTAGTTGACAGAACAGTGTTGTTATATGACTTTCAAGTTGAATTTCCCATACACTTTTGAGCCTATAGATTTGTTTGTTATGTATATAACTATTTGGCATTGTTCTACAAATTAGGACTTTGTTTTTGAAAGCTTTTTTATATATAGCTGTTAGATCATTGCAAACTTTCTCATTCAAGTGTGTGTGCTGCATTCTATACTTTATATAAGGGATTAGAGCTCTATTAATAATATACCTGGCATGTTTTTTTGTTAGACTTTTATTGCTAATTGCTTGGGTTACTGTTCTGATCTCTGTCTTGAGTAGATTAATAGTATTTCAATTGTTATGTCTTTTTCCTAACCAGATATCCAGAAATCTTGCTTGGTCATATTTATTTAGTTCCTTAACTATTAATTTGTCTGTCCCTATATGAACTATGCCTGGATCTGTACTATTCCAGTTGAAGGTCAGGAGAATAGATTTTTTACTATTGATTTGTAAATTATTTGTCTAGTAAAATTGTCTAGCATCTTCTAAGATACATTTCATATCATCTTTGAATTTGGCAATCCAAGTAGTGTCATCTATATATGCTATTACTGCTTGTCTTAAAGAAAGTTTTTTTTTTAGGTGTGACTTTTGAAAGTCCAGTGTCCATTCTTCTTCTATCATATATCTGTAGTTTAAATTTTCTTGAATTTTACATAATAATGAATCATAAAAAATTCTCCAAAGTAATAGTGAGATTGTTTCCCCTTGGTTTATTCCATTACCAGCTATAACTAGATCTGAAAGCTCTATTGGAAGAATTGTTCTATATTTTCTATTTTCAAAGAGATTTATGATTAATTGTTTATTAATAGCTGAAATACAGATTCTATTTATAGATATTTCCAACATTTTGAGACTAATTATATCATATACTTTGGCTGTGTCCTGAAAAAGAATCCATAGTTTCTTTTTCTTTTCTCTGGCTTCTTCACAAATACTGTTTAGAAGTTGGATAGGTTCAATTATACTTTCTCCTTGTAAGCCAGCAAAATTAGTCCTCATAGAATTTTATACTTTTTACATATACTGGTAAGTCCATTGGATAATATTTTAGTGAAGCATTTTCTTGTTGTCTCTAGCAATATTATGGGTTTTGTGTTGTTTAGACTACAGTTCCATGATTTTGACTTGGATATCAGATATATGTTACTTTCTTTCCATTTCCTTGGTATATGGCCTACCTTAATTATCTGATTGTATAGTTGTTTAAGAGCCTTTTTTCCTTGAGGATCCAGGTTTTTAAGTATTTAATAACTAATATATAATGGACCAGATACTTTCTTTTTAGAAAGGTTTCTTAGTGTTGTCTCGATTTCTTCTATTGTGATTTCTTCCTGTAAAAGAGAATACTATGTTGGATTTATCTAATCTTTTGATTGATATTCTCTTTTCCATTCAGGACTAAGGCTCTCTTAGTTAGTATTTTGTTGCTTGAAGACTCTTTGGTGATATTCTTCAATTACTTGTTTGATTGTTTGTGGATTTGTAATTATCTATTTTTCTCTATCTTGGTTTCTAATCTTAACTTGATCTAAGGTTATCTTGGATCTTTTTCGGTTTAGCAGAGATTATAACATTAATTTTTGATTGCTTTTAAGATCTTCATTTCTGGTTTCAAGTGCTTTGTTAATTTGGCTCTTGATATATAAACTCTTTTTCTTTTTATAGACTATTCTTAATGTATGTTCTATATTGAAAATATTTTTGAGCTATACTTGGATTTCTTATAAGAACTGAGGAACTGTAAGATCCCAATTCTCCACTTTCTTGTATAGGGAATAGAGTTTATTGATTACTTGTATAAGTTTGTTTTAGTGTTTGCATCCCAACTGTGATAAGTCTTTTTTAACAGATAGTGGAC